GTGTATATATATATATATTAAGAAAACACTCTAGGGACATTATCTAAAGATCAATATTGGCTTTTTAAATACAAAAATAAACTTGTGGCAACAACAATTTCAGTTCATGCTTAAGGAGAAATACCTGTGAAACCTCTGTTTCAATTATCAATAACAAAAGGAGCAGGATAATAATAGGACCAAACTGATAAAACTGTTGTGAGTATTAAATGACTAATAGCAAAATGACAAAGTAAGATTATTCATTAGTGTGAAACTCTTAGAACACTACTTGACTTACATTTTAATAAATGTTAGCTAACATTATTGCCTCAAAGATGTAAGTCTCAAACTGATACATTATTCAAGTAATTTAAATTCATTATAATTACTGATTAGATAAAGATACCCACAGAGAAACAGCTCCCTAATGGGTAAAAAAAAAAAAAAAAAAAAAACAGGAATCTGAAGCCTCTCCTCCCCTAAATTCCCTATTCCCTCTCTACTACCACTAATGCTAGATCAGAAGCACCTCCTCTTTTATACCATGCTACATCTCTATTAGAGCATCATTCAATATATTTTCACTGTCTCCCCACCAAGCTGCTGTGAGTTCCTAAAAGTGAGCAATTGTGTTAGTGTCTCAGTACTTCCAAAGCACCCATTCCTACACATAACAAATGTGCTAAATTAACAAATATGTATTTTATACAATCTAGTTCACGTCAGGATTTATATTTTATGGATTGCAACCACCTTGACATCAGACCTTTCAGGAAGGTAGGCAGCTAAGGAATTTTAGTTGGGATCAGGAATAAAAGAAATGATTGTTCAAGAGACACTTAAGCTGTGGATGTAGTTCAGAGGTAGTACTTGCCTAGAATGCATGAAGCCCTGGGTTTGATCCCCACCACACCAGAAATAACAAAAACAAAAACAAACAAACAAAACAAAAAAAAAAAAAGAGAGACGTTTATTGAGCACTCTGTGAGGAGCAGGCAACAAATTAAGCTCTAGGGTTATAAAAAAGATCAAGCTGTCACCCCCCACTAATGAGTAGAAATGTTAAAGGTAGATTAATTCTGCTGACTCTTAAGTTGCGGTGTTCTTTCCATTACAACAGTCTCTTTCAAATGTTGACTAAACACACTGTAACAAGACACAATCTGAGGCAACACTCAGCACAGATATACACATTTCTTATCTTTTCTATTTAACTATATTTAATTTCACTTTCCAAAAATGTTCATTTTGACGTTCTATATTGGTTTTATGACTCAAAGGCTAAAAAATACTGCTCTAGAAGACACATTTTTAAAACATTCTCTAGAAATTCAAGGTCAGATATAATTCCTGAAAATTAATTTTGCTTACATAACAAATCTGTATCCCAATAAAAAATGTAGAACACTACCAAATCAAATAACACACAAAGATGAACATATAGCCATAGCAGCTGTGAGGAACCTAAACCTCATCTGCATCAGCTTTCCCTAAAGCCACCCCAAGTAAATACCCAATCTAAGGGAAATAACATTTGCTAAGCAAAAACAGCTTAGCAGAAAGTTTCCTGGTACCCCAAGTCCCTGCCAATCAGACTGGCCCATAAGACTCTCGATCCTATATGGAAATTCTGGAGCTCCCACTTACAATGAATATTTTTTTAATAACTTTATTTTATTTATTTATTTATTTATTTTTATGTGGTGCTGAGGACTGAACCCAGGGCCTTGCATGTGCGACGCAAGCATTCTACCACTGAGCCATAACCCCAGCCCCATGAAGATTTTTTAACTATTTCATGTACAGAGACTTTAATGTACTTGGACAACAATAATTTTATTAAAATAAGTGAAAGTCAAAATAAACTGCTATAAATAAACACATTTTGCTTTTCACAAAATCTCTCTCTGAAATTTGCCAACCTTCACTTAAATTGGAAAAATGGGTACACAGATTTACCCCAGATCCAAACAAAGCATGTAGAAATGAATCACTAGTTAAACTGGTATGTCTTTTGGATAAAATACTTAAGACTTAATACTTTGTCCTTAAAATACTAGGATAAAGGCAGTATAAAACTTTTCCTCAACATGAGATACCTGTACAGCACTTCCCACTAAAAGAAATGTTAACTATCACCTCCACCTTGTAATAATAGCAAGCTAGGGAGGAACAAACTCATTGTCTTCAGAGTTCTTTCAATAAATGTGTTCCTCTGACAATGTCAGAAATAAGCAGAAAGACCAGAAAATCCTTTTTTTCCACCTTCTATGCCCACAAGTAATTCTCCAGCTCTGAGAATGTAAACTAAATACAAGAAAATTCATTAAAGTCCTTGGGCTTCACCATTCATCATCCGAGAAGCATGTCAGCATTCAAAGGACTCATTTTTGTGACATCTGCTGTACATTAAGAGGCAACATCACAGAACTTTAGTACATTTTTGTAGCTGGGAGCAGTGGCACACGCCTGTAATCCCAGCAGCTCAGCAGGCTGAGGCAGGAGGATCACAAGTTCAAAGTCAGCTCAGCAATTTATCAAGCCCTAAGCAACTCAGCAAGACCATCTCAAAATAAAAAATGAAAAAGGGCTGGAGATGTGGCTTAGTGGTTCAATCCCTGGTACAAAAAAAAAAAAAAAAAAAAAACTTTGTGTTACCCCAAACAGAAGTTTGTTTATTTATTTATTTGCTGTGCTGGTGATTGAACCCAGAGCCTCACATATGCTAGATGAGTCTAGCACTGAGCTACATCCCTAGCCCAGTAATCTGTGCAGAACCAGAGAACCTGACTGTGTTCTATTATGATCAGACTCTCTGAAACCAAATATTTTACATATGGGGAAAACATTTAAAATATACACACTAAAATATTCTATATTTAAATGAGAAACTGACCAAATTGTCAAAATGAGGTAGCCTAGAAAAGAGCAGATCCATCAAAGACATTGATGCAGATCGTGTCAAGACCACTTTCTAAGCAGGTAGCAAAATAAACCACACAGTAGTTCTGTAATCAGTAAGGGAGTGATACCCCCAAGAAAATAAAAATACACTGCAGCTGTGCTATGGCCAAAGGATAACTAACTTCAAATAGTAACTCTACATTTCTTATAATCTCAAAATCAATGACAAATTAATTTTTTTCACCTTTTTCACTTATAAATACATCACACACAAGCCCAAACATTTCAATAATTTTGTTGCATTTAAAGTAGAAACAACTTCTGGAATCTGTCTGTAAAAAGCTAATGAGCTCATTTAAAATGAGCATACTTAAGTACAAAGAATAAAATAACTAGTATTAAAATATATTTGGGGGGGCTGAGGTTGTGGCTCAGAGGTAGAGCGCTCACCTGGCATATGTGGGGCATGGGTTCAATCCTCAGCACCACATAAAAATAAAATAAAGGGAGCATGGGAGGAATAGATGAACTCTAGATAGGGCAGAGGGGTGGGAGGAGAAGGGAGGGGGCACAGGGTAATTAATGATGGCTGAATGTGATGATCATTATTATCCAAAGTACATGTATGAAGACATGAATTGGTGTGAATATACTATGCATACAACCAGAGATATGAAAAATTGTGCTCTATATATGTAATAAGAATTATAACGCATTCTGCTGTTCTATATAAATAAAAATAAATAAATAAAGGTGTTGTGTCCACCTACAACTAAAAAATAAATATTTAAGAAATATATATTTGGAAAAGCTCAAACTATATCAAGTAAAGTCATTCAAAGTCAGCAATGAAATTCAGATAAAAATTCAGCATAACAGATTTGAACTTCATTTTTTTCTCTACCACTGCTACTGCTTCTGTTCTAAAAGTGAACCTGAAGCTCACCTACTGTATATAAAAAGCAGGAATCTCAACAAGACACAGGACAAGGAAGCAATGAACACCTATCCCCGGGGTTTCAGTACTTGCAGAGTAATAAATGGCATTGCTGGAAGGAGAAAAGGCTTCATCTGGGGCAACTGAGAACATTCTGACAACAGCAAGAGTCTGCCAGGCTCCATAAAAGCTCTGTACTGTCAGTCCTTCTCTCCTGTGTATGGACAAAATCTGCAGATGCAGCCTCGGCAGGAAAAGAAGGAGACCAAATTTAAAAATGGAGAACTGCTATGCTGCTTAACCTTGAGAGTAGGTACCCACCTCACTGTTCTAAGCTCTGAACTGCAGACTACTGACACCAGCATCTGTGGCATGACTGTTAAGGAAACTGCCAGCCAGTTAAACATTTCTGTGATAAAAAGCCTTCACATCTGACAAGCACTAGAAACCTCAATGTGTTCTTCATTATCTTAATTCTTGGAGGAAAAAAAAAATCAAGTAAGTATAATAATGGACATCGCATTTTCACAGAAGCATTAAGTTCTCAAAGTACATATGGTTTATAAAAAGAAAATAAACACTACTTCTCATTTAATTCTATGACAGTCCACTTCAGAATAGTGTTATTACTGCTCCCCCAAAGCAATTTAAAAGCAGAAATAGAAATCTACTTAAAAGCACTCAAGAGAGTAACAAGCTTAACAGACAACTTAATTTTTAAAACTTAACACTGAGATAATACAAGATTCTAGAGAAAAAAAAAACACAAAAAGCCATTTTTGTTTGGCTTATAATGTTATTAACATAGTTCAATATCACATTAAATGAAAAAACTTATTAAACTGCCTTTGCACAAATCTGGTTCGTCATTCTTCTCAATTCCCAATGTTTATGGGCTAAACATCTTTATAAGCCCTCAAGTCCTACATAATGCACTCTTGTTTCTCTACAAGAGCTCTCCCAGTTTTAACAAATGAATGTCAATCACATTAAAAATTTAATTTAAGGAATTTAAGAGAAACCAAACAGGATTGTTTTTCGTTTATTTTTCAATAGTGTAAGCATAAAAGCATCTTCAACCCCAAGCATAGCAAATATTCTGTCATGTCTACTGACTTAAGCATAACATTACAGATTTTTTTTCAGATGCATTAAACAAAAGTGCTCACATTCTTACCTGTATATCCAGCGAACCATCCCCAGGAAGCCACCATTCCTAAAAGCCATTTATACATGGTTCCTTCAATATACCAGAACCGCTTACTGTCCAGCACTCGAAGGGGCTGCAGAACAATTACATAGCAGACATAGGATGGAATAGCAACCAGGTTGTTGAAGATCATGAAGGCAAATCTTATCAGGGCTTTCACCAAGATCCAGCCCCTTCGAGGAGCTTCTTCCAAAGTCGCAGCCATTCTCACATTGGAGTCCATTCTGTCTTCCTGGAGTGAAAGGAAAATTCATTTAAAAAGGAAAATGGACTAAACACATCTAAATAGTCACCAGCAAAGAATCGCCTCCAGCACAAAAATAAAAGAAAAAGCTAGGGTCTAAGCTTTCCGGGTGTAGTACCTCAGCTATCTCACGGGCAAATTCCAGAGGGGGACAGAGAGCGAGGGAGAAGGAACCGCACAAGGTCAAGGGAGCGGTTCACCGGGGCACTTGGGGCATGTCATAATATATTTAGCAAATGATAATACAATTCCCACTCCTAATTGGAGGCGGTCCCCGCACCGCGTCTCACTGCGGTCGTCTTTCTAGACTTTAAAGAAGAAAAACAGACCCGCTAGCTTCAGACACCCTCAATGTCTCCCAACTGAGGGTACAAGAGTGAAAGGACTGAAACAGGCACCTCTCGGTCAGATTTCCCAGAGAGCGAGAAGCGAGGCGTCCTCCCCACCACCATTCCTGCACATTTGATTCATCCCTTTAAAAGGTCCCTCGCATCAGCCAAGAGTTACGCTCAAAATTCTCATTTGCAGCAATAGGGTTTTTTTTTTTCCTTTTTTTTTTTTAAGAAAAAAAGGAGAGGGGCCTAGAAAAGAGAAGATAAAAGGTGAAAGAAGAAAGAGGGGCTTAATAAGGCAAAAACGAGAAAGCAGTAGGGGGAGGGGAGCAAAAGCCAGAGGGAGGTAAAGGCAGGGGGCCAGGGATGAAGAGAATGAGATCTGCGACCGGAGGACCGGGAAGCGAGGGATGATGAAAGAAACGGAGACGAGGAGGCGACCACCGCGCGCTGGCCGGGGCACCGGCAGCGGTTTCCGCGGAGGAGGAAGGGGTCGGGCGGCGGGCGCGGGCCGCGCTCCGGGCTCACCTCGGCGGGAGCGAGCGGCAGGCAGCGAGAGGCGAGCGGCGGCGGAGCGCTAGGGCGAGCGGGGTCGGGGGCCCGCGGCCCGGAGCGCGGGACGGGGCGGCGGCGGGTGTCCCCTGCCGAGAGGTCGCGGTCATGGACGCGGCGGCGGCGGCCGAGGCGGCCCGAGGCGCTGCGCGAGCGGGCGCGCGAGCGCCCTACTCCCCTCGCGACTGCCTGCGGACAGAGGGACGGCGGGGACTCAAAAGGCCGGACCTGTCACCGGGGCGGGTCCCAGGGAGGCGGGCGGATACCCCGCGCCCCCGCCTCCTCTCCCGGGCCTACCGCGCCCTCGTCCCTCAGGCCGCCGCCGCCGCCTCCTCCCCGGGCCACGCGACGACACCCCTTCCCCGCCCCCAGCGCCTTCCCGGGCCCGGCTTCACCGCGCCGGGCCTGCACCCGCCGAGCCGGAGGTTACCTCGGACTACCCGGAGTCGGGCCCCGGCTGCGGGAGCAAGAGGAGCCGGAAGAATGCATGGCCGGCGGCGGGGCCGGCGGAAGGAGGCGGCGGCGCGGCCCGGCCCGGCTCCGGCAGAAGCGCGGCTCGCGCCGAGTCCCTGGCGGCTCCGAGACTTGGTCCCCGGGGCCCAGCTGCGTTCGCCGGGGCTGGCGGGGAGGGGCGGCGGGAGGAAGCGGCGGGAGTCGGGACTGCGGCGGAGCCGCCCCCAGAGCGCCCTCTAATGAAGGCGCTGCGGCCGCCGCCCGCGACCCGACCCTGCTCGTCGGCGGGTCTGGGCCCGGGGCTGCCAGGCCGTTAGGCCAGGACCTCGCCGAGCCAGAACCCAAGCTGAGGGCGGTTCTGAGAGGTCTAGGAATGAACACCAACCCTTACACCACACGCCGAGTGCTTCGGTCCAAACTGAGAGCCCTTTTCAGCCCAAACCGCCGCTTTTCATTGTTAGAGCGCCTCTGCCAAAAGTGGGAAGCTGTCTCGTTGAAGACTGAATGTCCTTTTTTCATTCCTAATGAAACCCAGTTGTGCTCCTGGCTTTTCTTCTAAACCTCCCCAGAGTATTAAGGTCTAGAGTTTTAAATCAATTCCTTTAAGCGCCAGAGTTCTTGTTTCTGGAAAGCACCCGGAACATTAATGACAATTCCAATTTCCCATCCTCCCTCACCCTAGATAAAAAGGAATTCAGTGGGAATCCAGTGATCTACACAGAAAGACTGAAATTTGGTTAGTCAAGAAAGGAAAAGCACTTAACCAAGTGCCTAGAATTGAACAAATCCTCAAAAAACTGACTATAGGAACTCCTAGACAGGACACACAATACTGGCAGGTACTGTAGCTGCTTTCTGGTTGAAAGACTGGACCACCGGAAGGAAAACAAAGAAATAGCCTAATGGTTGGTCCACTTGAACATTCTCAAATGATCTGCCTAAATTTGCTTTTAAAAACCCAACTTTAAAAATCTTATGCCCCTTCATCACAATTTTAAATAGGAGGGCACTTTTTCCATGTCCCTAGAGCATTGTTGTATTTGAATAAGTACAATATATCCTGCTTGTTTTGAAAATGTTGTTCACTGTGTTGCACAGTCTTCTCAAAGCACAGTCTGTCTTGAAAAAAATATTAGATTCTTTTCATTTATTATTAGTTTATTTTTATTCATGTGTTATCTATTTCACTAATGTTATATTTTGTGTGTGTGTGTGTGTGTATGTGTCTATGTAGTACTGGGGATTAAAGCCAGGCCCTTGAACATACTAGGCAAGCACTTGACTAATCAGCTACACCCCATCCCACTAATATTTTAGCTGTATAGGTCATAAAAAAGCACAGGCCAAGTCAGGAAACTGATGTATAGCAATAGAAAAGCTAGATATGCCCATTCTATTCCTTGTATTCTGTCTTTTAAATAAAACACGAGCAAAATAATATATGTATTTTAGATTATTGTTCACAAGGTGTCATTATATTCTTAAGGAACCTAGTACCTAGTGAGGCACATATTTCTTTGCAAGAATAAATTCCCCTAAAGATTCCATTCTTTCCTTCCCATTCAGCTTTCCCACATGCTGAGTAAACACCGGCTGACACCTGGAGAGAGATAACCTACAATGGGATTTACGCCTGGTTCCTGAAGGTGGAACATCTGCCTGAGCACCAGACACACCAGCACTTAATGAGATGAAATTAGTACCTGCCAGCCAAGCCCAGAAAAGAGCCAGAAGAGGTCTGTCCAGCAGGACCTGAAGCAGTGGGTCTCAAGCTTTAGTGTGGAAAAAAAAAATCACTTGGAATGTTTACCAAAAAAGAAAAAAAGAAAGAGAGAGCAAAGAAAAGCCTTGATTCTTAGGCCTCATACCAGAGCAATTTAACACTTCTGTATCCAGAGGGCCTAGAAGCTTGCTTTTTAAAAAGTATCATAAATGATTCTCATGTAGGTAGTATAATCAGGTTGCTTTAAAAACCTCAACCTAGAGTTATCCTGAAATGATCACATCCTTTTCTAGACCCTTCATAATTTTAATCATTTGATCATATCTGTTCTCATCTGTACTAATCTGCTAGGGCTGCCCCAGGCTGAGAGGGCCTAAACAGAGACTAATTTGCTCACAGTTCTGGAGACCAAAATCAAAGGTCAAGATGTGGGCAGGTTTGATTTCTTCTGAGGTTTGCTTCTTGGTTTGCAGGTGGCCACATTTTCACTGGATGTTCACATGGTCATCTCCCAGTACATGCACCTGTCTGCTTGCTCTTCTTAGTTTCTGTCTCCAAATCTCTTCTTATAAGGACAACTGAGATTGGATTAGGGCCCACATTGATGTCTGCATCTTAACTTCCTTACCTCTTTAAAGACCCTATCTCCAAAGAGTCACAATCTGAAAAAGGAGAGGTTAGGACTTCAACATATGAATTGTGAGGGCACAGCTGAGCTATCACATCCTTCTACTCTTTTCTGAATTCTACCATTTCACTAGCTCCTCATAGGAAGGACCTGGAATCCCTCATCTCATTGATCATTACAGGTGTTCTCCTATTGACCAGCTCCAACCTCATTAGACTTCAGGTGGCTGGTGTTAAGGATTGAACCCAGGGCTTGCACACCTGCTAAGCACATGCTCTATCCCCAACCTGTCATTAGAATTTTCTTGAAGCTCAGTAAAACACATCGTGTTCCAGGTACAGTTATGCCCTAGTTTTGTGCCGAGAGAGAGAGAGAGAGAGAGAGAGAGAGAGAGAGAGAGAGAGAGAGAGTGTATGTCTTTAACTTTCTGACCACATAAGCACATTGAGTTTTAAGTTAATGTGGCAACTAGGTGCAGTGGCACAGGCCTGTAATCCCAGTAACCCGGGAGGCTGAGGCAGGAGGATTGCAAATTTGAGTCCAGCCTCAGCAATTTAGTGAGACCCTGTGTCAAAACAAAAAATAGGGCCGGAAGTGTAGCTCAGTAGTAGACACCCCTGGTTTTAATCCTCAATACCAATAAATAAATAAATAATTCATCACCTATAAATCATGAAAAACTGTGCTAACATCTTCTGGGAACAATTTCAGGTAATGCTTATATTTATTTCTTGTATTTCACAGTTCATTTTAGTTATACATTTTGTATTCTTTCACTTTACATACAATACCTTCCTCTTGCCTTTTTTGTTCTCTACCATACTTCAACCACTTAGGCAATCTGCTTACCCCCACTGCACTGCAGGCAGATGGATATATAAATGCTGTGGAGAGCCAGGCATGGTGGCACATGCCCGTAATACCAGTGATTCAGGAGGCTGAGGCAGGAGGATTGAAAGTTCAAAGCCAGCCTCGGCAATTTAGCAAGGCCCCAAGCAACTTGGCAAGACCGTGTCTCAAAATAAAATATAAAAAGTGCTGGGAATATGCCATAGTGAATGAGTGCCCCTGGGTTCAATCCCTGGTACATACATACATACATATGTACATACATACATACATAAATGCTATGGATGACTGTAACAGGGAGATTGAGATGGCCAGTTTTTCAAGTTAGATCTGCAGAAAGCAAGGACCCTCTTCAATGATAGTTATGTTCCTGTTCCCTAAACCTTTATCAAAACCTGAAATCCAGAATTTCAGAGCTTTCATGTATACCACCAATAGGAAAAATGGGAGACAGACCTCACCCTGTAGTCATAGGTGTGATAGTTTCTGTTTTGAAAGCCCTACAGAGATAGTCCTCTAAGAGAGCAATAGGACTTCTCACATTTCCTGGAGTCTCCAGACATTTGAAAACAATCTAACCATAACACCTTAGAAGGTTTAATTCTACCCATCTGGTTCACATGTATGCAACAAATTAGGTTATAACCAGAGAGGAGTTCCCTAGGGCAAAAAATCCTCTTGGGCCCTCTTTTTTTTCCCCCTCTCCTAGTGGCAATTAAAAAAACATTTTGTTTACCTGTGTTGGTTTCTACACTGAAGTTCCAATGAACTATTTCCTCTCCAGGGGAAAACCTACCAACCATTTTGTAGATGTGCAATGACTTGGCACAGGACCCACATCACTAGAAAAGAGTGGTTAGTTAAAAATCAGCATCCTTGGGCTGGGGATATGGCTCAAGTGGTACCGCGCTCGCCTGGCATGCGTGGGGCGCTGGGTTCGATCCTCAGCACCACATAAAAATAAAGTAAAGATGTTGTGTCCCCCGAAAACTAAAAAATAAATATTAAAAAATTCTCTCTCTTAAAAAAAAAAATCAGCAGCCTGAAAGAATTAGGCCTTGCCACCAATATCAGCTTTAACTTCAAACAAAAAAGGGAAATATATGTATGGATGTTCTCTATTAGTATCAGTAATCATTTAATATAGAACCTACTGGATTTATAACTTTAAAATCTTTTAGACAAGGTAATTTTTATTTAAAGACAGTCAAATCACCAAGATTTGACTGTCTTTAAATAAAATACAAAATAGAGCTGGAGATGTGGCCCAGTGGTTGAGTGCCCCTGAGTTCAATCTATGGTACCCCCAAAAAATTTAACAATAGGATAGAGTGAAAGGTGAAATCATCATCTTTCAAACCATGGTCAGAAGAAATAATGTTACTAATACTCCATTTTAAAATTTACTTTGATCTTTGAAAATAGATTATTTCGGTAACAATCTATGGCTAGAGGTACCTCAGTTTAACCACTAACTTTATAAAATAATAGTACCTTTTTATTATTAAAACATCCTCCTTCTTCTATTCTCAAGCTATCAACTACTTCCCATCCATCTTAGATAATAGGGTTGTAGTATTTTTTTTCTTAAAGGACCATTTTTAATATTGCGTTTTCCTGTTTTAACAGTGTTTTTCTACATTCTTCCAAATCAATCTGGTTTACTTCAAGGCCTTCTACACCTGATTCCTCACTGATTATTCTAGAAGAGTTTACTAATCAACAGCCATACACACTGAAATGCTTCAATTAGATTCAGGTGGCAGAGGCTGGTGCTGCTGGACAGCTGGCTGGCTTCCTCCTTTACCCCATACTATTACCATTTTCAGTGAGCACCATAAAGTTGAGAGGTTAGAAAACATTGTCAAATTCTCTTTCCATTCTTATTATTTCCCAACCAGCCCCTTCTATTCTTAAAGTAGTATACCTTCACTCTGATGGTC